GAAGCTTTTCTACATGCAAGAAGAAATTTTTTAAACACACCAATTTGTGCCAAAAACCACTCCCGAATTCTGGTAAAGTTTTTTAAAAAAGTTATTCACAACACATTAAGGGCTTTACTTCTGCTATTTCTGCCATGGGGAAACCTGATTACTCAGACTTGTGAGATTTAACCACAAAGATTTGCAAAGGACTGTCCTATATACTGAAGTCCCAGGACTCTCAATTCTGACATTAACTGTATTTTTACCTACCTTTTCCTGACTAACAATACCTGAAAAGAAAATAGTCTTAAGTATATGGACTGAGTAACACACACTGAGAAACAACAAAACACCTAAAGCCTATCTAATTTGATATTTAAAAAAAACTTTTTTACTGTGAGGACAGCATCCACCGGTTGTATTTCCACCAAAACTTTGATATAAAATAAACATATTTCTTTTTTCAGCCCTCTTGGGAGTGAAGGGAAACACCATTTACAGCTCAGCCATAGATGATATCAGCACAGATACTGGAGTATGCAACACATTCCACAGTTCCTGTGTTGCCCTGACAAAATTAGACTAATTCCTTTGGAGGAAATACGTTTCTCTGCTTTATGCCGAAAATCAGGTGGCAGACTGTAATACTGAAATTGAAGGAGCAGGAACACAGAGTTCTTCTGACATGGTAAAAAGTACAGGAATTATGCTTGTAGCCATCCATCTGGTATTTAATCCAAGTAATCTAAGTTTATTGTTCTTTCACAGTTTTTGTACATCTACCTCTATACGTCCCTAAAAGATCTTAATACAGGACCCACTGGACATGGAGAGACAGTACTTCATTAATTTCAATGTGTTTAATGTGTTTTAATATGTTTGCCCTGCAGCAATGGTATTCAGTTAGGAAAGATTCACTCACTTAATGCCTTCCGTATTTTCTCAGCTCATAAAGAGCTGCACAGTACAGCAGGGAGCATATTGTAGAGTTATTAAATGCTATTATTAAATATGTCATATTACTGCTGAAATCTGTACAAGGCAAGAAAACAGAGAACTATCAATATTTGAACTTCAAATATTATACAATATTCCAGTAGCTACATTTTCACTTCATAATTCCAAAAGGTCTCAACAGAACCTACATATAATCACAACTGAAGGTGAATATATTACAGTAAATGTGACAAGTTTGATGATAACTGTGATGTTAGGGTTCAAAGATTTGCAGTCATGATGTGACTGCATTATGCATAGTGATGTTTTCATAATTTATTCATAATTTAAGGAATACTATGAAAAATATAGAGGCACTTTAAAAACCAGATCAATGATATGTGCATCATTCAGTAGTTGAAACTCATATTTACTGTGTGTTCTCAGTTGCTTTAGTTCATTATTTTGCTAAGGGCCAGATTCCAAAATAGTAGCAGTTTTCTTGCTGCTTATGTCATTTTACTGAAGCACTCAAAAGTTTGGGTTCTCTAAGATCTTTTATATCATCTTCTAGTAAAAATCCAGAGTTTACTGAGATTATGGATTAAGAAGCTCCCCATGGAAGCAAAAACTGAAAGACCCCAAAGGTTTATATTAATTATTAGAGAAGTCAAGGCATTGTTACTTTCCATGTAGTCAAGACTTGGTACCACAGCTGAAGACGCCGTGTCAGCCTCCTGGCCTACATGGGCAAGGAAATAATGCTGCCCAGGGATAAATGATGCACGTTGTACCACACAGCTGGAGTGTGTCACCTCCAGAGCTGTCATCCTGGGCTCTACAAGGGACAGAGCCCCCATGGACTGTGTGAATTTAACTAACACAGAATTTACACACATAGCTAGGAACAAAAGGTACAAATACAGACTAAATAGAGAAAAGAATGGACTAGTGCTCTGGCCAACAATGAAAACATGCTCAGGAAGTCAAGTCATCCATGAAATGCCAAGACAAAAAGGACTAATAAAACCTTTGACTAAACATAGAAACACATCTACATACAAACATATATATATTTTAAAAATACATCATGTTAATATATACTCTGAGATAGACCTCACAATGCATTTTTGCAGCTCATCAGAGAGATCTCAACAGCTGAGTTCCTTTCTCAAAATGGATTCTGAAGGATTAGGAAATATGTTGAAAGAAAAACACAAATAAAATTTTAGTACCTAAGAATCTATTTTACAATTAAATATTTAGAGAGCTCAAGCTGTTTCCTTAAACAGAACATATCAGGAATAGCTTGATTACTCTATGAAAGTATCTTCACAGAGGAAAAAAGTAGGTAGTAAAGAGTTCTTTAATCTAGCTGAGAAAATGAAACAGGTAGCAAAGGCTAGAAGCTAAAGTGACACATATTACAATTAGAAATTAGGCACTCATTTCTACCACAACCAATTAACAAGTACATTTGTAAGTTCTTTTCCTGTTGAAGCCTTTTGAAGAGCTCTTTTGTAATCTGAAAAGAAACAATTTTATGTGAAGTTTTAAACACACTTCCTGCTGCTTCTCTTCAGATTAAAATGTAACAACTGATTATATAAAATGAATTGCCAGCTAGGATAAAAGGGACAAGGAGGAGAAACACCCTTTTTTTCTCCCTGTGACAGAAGAACTTGGTAAAATACAAACTTACACAAGTTTCACCTCACATACTATAGCTCAAAGGAGTCCACCAGTTTATCAGCATTGCTCCCACAGAAAGAAGTTCTGCCTTAGGACTTGGGGTACTGCAGTCATAGAACTCTGAGTTCTAAATGAACATCCAGTAAGTTTTCGGACTCACTTTCAAAAACAGAAGTACAAGCTTTTAACATCTTTTATAAAAAAAATTGTGCCATTTCATGTCAGTCATTTTTAGTTCTGAATCTAACAAAAGACACCATAATGAAATGTCTCACCAGTGATTGAACAAACTGAAAAAAACAGTCGAGCTTTCAGTAACATTAGGCAGGCAATATTAACAGATTATATTCTACACTGAAAATTGTAACAAGAATAATAATTGAAGTCAATTGCCAAATCAACAGTAATGTAAAACATGCAAGTAGTCTAGCTAAAAGGTTTCTAGTCATTTTTCCAGGTATGCTTACAGGCTTAAAATAAGCTGATGAACTAAAAGCCCACAGGAGAGTAAACAATTTTGATTATTTGGCTATTTAATATATGCTAAGCATGAAAAGAAGGATACTAAGAAATTCACACTACTCTGTAGCTTCCTAATTTTATCTTATCATCGAAGAATCTAATGCAGAGCAAGCTGGTTGAATCATTTAATTTCTTGCAATTTTTTTGCTAATTGTAATGCAAATATCATTGACTACATTTTTCTTCTGGGTAAGATTATTCTACCACCAATAGTGGGGAAAACAGCCTTTTTTCATTTCTTTCCACAAGAAATATATTATGCCTATATTTCAACCGATTTAATTTTATCTCCTTTCTTCAGTCTTTTTCCTATCAATTATACATTAGATTCATATTTGACTATACAATTAAACAAAAGCTGATTTTTTTTTTTCCCCTAAGTTTGGCAAAATAAATTTCTTCAAGTGCAATGTGTAGGGTAATCTCTAGAAGCTATTTTATTTCTGGAAGTAATTTGAACTCTAAAATTTGCTGTCTTTTGACATTTATTCCAATAAATGTGAATTTTACACTTTTACAAAGTTTTGACTCCGTGGTTATTCAGGCATACATTCCACTCACTTTGAGTTACACAGCCAATGAACTGTTTGACGCTGAAGTCAAGCTGCTCACTGTTGCTCAAGTGTGCCTGCCCTGCAGCTGCCTGGTCGTGTGCAGCTTCTGCTGCTCCAGATATACCAACAAGCCAAGAGTGAATGTCAGTCAATACATCTGCCTTAGCAAAAAGATTTATATACTCTTCTATAGAGAAAAATAACTTCAAAAGTGTAGCTCTTTCAATGTGTTTTTCTCAATGACCAGTCTAGGGTCTAAAAATGGGGAGAACAGCAAAACAGAAAATAGAAAGAGCACCATTTGTGATCTTTGTCACTGTCATTTGTCTAGCGTTACTGAATTACATGAAAATATTCAAGAAGAAACAGAAAAATATGGTAAACTGTGAGAATAATTTCAAAAACTTTGTCATAGTTTCATGGTGAGAAAGGTGTGTGTTGCATGCAAGGAATTACACTTGGATTCTAAAAGTCCTTGGTGGAAAAATGCAGTAGACTCTAGAGTTTGCTTTGTTTTGATTCATCTTGTTCCAAAATCTCACCAGAAACAGCAACATTATCAAATATCCTGATTTTTAAGTTGTTTCAATAAAGGATTTACCAAAATCATATCTTGTTAGTTACTTTTGAATCTACAACTGAATAATATAGATTGAACAGAGTGAAACAAAGGCTTGTTATTGCTTTAAAAACGTTCTACTGATTAGTACTACAGAGTCAGTACTGATGCCTCAACCAAACTCAACAAATTCATTGGTTTGGAGTGTGGTGGGCCACCTGCATGCCAGGTGCCTATCAACGCTGCTTTACAACTCCCCTCCACAGCTGGACAGGGGAGAAGATACAATGAAAGAAGTATGTCAGTCTGTTTAAAAAAATGTTTCAAAAAGTCCAACAACATAAAACCAAATAAATTTCTAACAGATGATTGAGTTTTCAACCAGCTGGCAAATTACACTTAGGTAGTGAAAGGGGAAAGATTGTTTGTGATAATGGGCCTGCTGATTAGTTCCCCTATGCAGAAGGAACTGAGTAAGTAAAGCTTGATGCTATATCAGAAATATTCTCCAATCTCTTATTCTTTCTGTATGTCCGAAATGGAAGTTCAATATTTATTATCAGTTAAAGCAGTCTCCAAAGTCAAAGAAAGGTCTGTCCATGATGACATCATCTTCTTCTGTACTAGAAAAGAATATATTTGGAACACCATTGACCCAATGTGTTGCTGATAGCTAGTGTGGAATAACAACTTCATGGACAGAGTAAGATATACAAAGTTGTCATAAAGAAATGTGCTCCAGGCTCATGACTCACAGCAATGGTTCTTACAGCACCAGGCCTTCTGTCTTCCTCACTTATAATTATCCACTTTTCATCCATCTGTGGAAAACAGAGGCCATGAATGAGAAATTCAGTTTTGTGGAATATTTTTGTTCATGACGTCCATAAAAAAGGAAATGTGTTACAAAACGTTTCCTCTCCCTTTCTTTCCTTGGTACCATGCTTCCACTGTCTTAGGAAGCAAAACATTTTTGTTTTTGTTGCTAAAGACATTAAGCATGTGTGATATAACACAGAAGTCCTACTCTGCATCAGCAACCCTGTGACCCATTTTTTCATTACTCCTCTCCACCTTTTCTTCCAGAAATGTGCTTCTAAAACTCATGTTCTATATAGGCTTACTGGATAAGTGTATTTCCTCTGCCTAGAGATTTATCATAGTTGAGTAGAAGTTGTACCTGGGACAAAATATGTGAAGAGCAAGCAGGGAAGATGCTGAGATGCATGAAAGCCAGTTTTTGGACTTAGTTCTAGGACCTTCTTTCCTGCCTGAGCACATGGGGACAGAGATGGTGTGCAAAATAGGGAAAATGTGACGTGGGTTTGACTTTGAACAGCAGGCACAGAACTGGGCTGCAATTCCTGCTTCAAAGATTCTGGGATGCAGTGTAAGGAAAGAACTACAATGACCTTGGGCAAACAGAGTAAGGTAAAGAACCAGAGAGGGTTATTTAGATGCCAGTACTAGATCAGAAAGGTTGACAAATGGAAATTCCTTTCATTGGTTTCATTTCTCTAGAATTTTCCCAACAGAAAATAACAGGTAATCTAAAATGTAAGAACTATTTGAGTTAATTGTAGTAAAGTATATGAAAATTTAATTTCCCAAGGTAATTTTGCAAAGGAAATGGCAAAGGAAAGAGTTTTCTTTCTAAAGTTTAAGGAAATGGCAAAGGAAACAGTTTTCTTTCTAAAGTCTTAGGCAAAAAAGCCTAAGAAGGTTAAAAACATGGCCAATGAAGAATAAAATGTAGAAATAATGCAGTCTGAAAGAGACTAAGATTAAAAGCCTTTTCCTATGTTCAGCATTTCAATTTTATGCCACTTTTTTTGAAGGCCATTCAGCTTCATTTTATGCTTTCAATACATTTTGACTAGAAACATAAATCAGCTGACAGACACAAACTCAAGTAAGCTGAGACTTGGATTTTATAGCAATATTGATAAAAGCTAGTGGGCATTCCTGCTGGAACATTGGCATTTGGCCTGAGAGAGTACTTTGAGAGATTTTTCAGATTCTTGATGCATCTAAAGACATACTGGTGCACTGCAAGTAATAAATGCAGAAAGGGCAAGCGATGGGGAGAAGGGTTCTCTCCATGGAAACAACAAAATAATTTTTCTAACAAGATTCAAGGATGTAACTTACCGAAGACTGGTTAAGTTTCAGAGCCTGGATAAGTTTTAAGCCGAGATGCAGGGAAAGATAAAATAATAAATAATATTTTATAGATTTCTTTGGTTAGTTCCTATCATGCAGAAGGGAATGTGCAGGAAAAACGGGCAATAACTTTTTATGTCAGTTTGACTGGCAAAGCATAAGCTGAATTAGACTGTATAAAAGGTGAAGTGAAGCTATTCAAGGAGAGTCATAAGTAAAAAAAAAAAATTAATCCTAAATTTAAAAACATGTAAATAATTCAAAGCAGCAGATTTTCTTTTCTTTTTTTTTTTTTCTTTTATTTTAAGGTTACTCTTTCTTTTATGTAACTCAATGTTGGAATACCCAAATTTACTAACCACACAAAATCAAACTGGAAATATATCTCCTAAAATCTCTCTCTGTTTCTTCCTCCTAAGTCAGAATCAACTGTGACAAAACCACCCTCACAGGCTTTTGTGTAAGCCATTCAGTAAAAATATCTGGTTTTGAATACTCCACAACAGCTGTCTTCACTCTGCCCCAGGTCTTTGAAAATATGTCTTAATGTCTCTAAATCCCTTGTTCCACTGTTGGTTCATTCCTTCACATCACTGGATGGAGGAAGCAGATTATTTCCTTCCTCCTCAGGTCATGTTTTCTGGACATGATCATTCACCAAGCTTTTCTCTGCCATCTCTTCAGCTGGCCAGTGTTTTATTTGAAGTGCAATAACCAAACCAGGATACCAGGTGCTGGGTTTGGTTGGGTTTTTTTTCCTCTTACAACAATATAAATTTAACAACTGGTGTTACCTTCAATAAAACATCTCCAATTTTTTTCCACTTTTTGGCTTGCTAGGTAGTTTCTATCTTTCATTCCTCAGCTGATTATTTTTACTGAAGTGAAATAATTTCCATTTGTCCTGCTTGAACTGCATCCCGCTTTACAGACCAAAATACCAATTAACAAGATTGTTTTAGATCTTAAACATCTCCTCCAAAATACTTGCAGACATCCTCCCTCCATTTTCACTTGATATAAAAGAATAAGAACACATAAACTCAAACCATTTTAAGATTATTCTCCCTGGCTTTCCTTTGTTTAATTAGAATTCTACAAGAATTTTTCACCTCACCACACCAAGATTTTGGTTTCTATCACAGTTTTGCATTTTGGGGAGCTTAATGAAGGTGACATTGCAATTATTTTGTGTATTTTGGCAGCTAGGGTAAGGAACAACACCAAACCTTTGATCAGTAACTATTAGCTGTTCCATTAGAAAAATCCAAAATAGACAGAAACTCAGATTTGAAAGTAATAACATTTGCTTAAATTTTACAGCCAAAATAAAACCTGGTTTTTCCTAGTATCAATTAGAACATACATCTGGATTTTCAAGCAGCAAAGTTATTGTGTAGAAAGAAAAAAAATGTAAAAGAAAAAAATGTATTGAATAATAAATCAGGTATATATTGAAAGAGAAAGAGAACAAGAGCACAACAAAGTCTTGTTCTAATTGACTAATATAAACATTTACATTGTTCATAAGGATTAACAGATTAAGTTGCTTTACCATGAAAGGAAAAATTGCTGTTTATGACCTAGTGTTAGACAACAGTAAGTGGCTTAATCTGGTTTTCTCTGAGGGTAAAGCTGTATGTAGTAATGGATTTAAGAGATATATATGCATAAGTTTCTTTTATTAGTGCACAAACTGTAAAAAGTTTTGGTGCACATGTGTCTGTGTAACCTTTTACAACCAGCATTTCTATTCCAGTATTGCATGGGCTTACTTTTTTTTCCCAAGGAAAGAAAAAGTACTCTGTGCCAACTGAGAGTATGGTGAGATAATCTTCCTAAAATTGTGCTTGAATGGTGTAATGGATTCCTAATGGCAAAGTGATGATATGTGAACACCAATCAATATGAATTATTGAATATCAATATGAATCAATGTGCATTAGCAAACTCAAGCTGAGAAAAACCGAAGTGCTTAGAGGCCATAACCATACACTGGGCTCCAGATCTTCTCTCTGTATCATATTCCTTCTTTGTGAGACAGCACTCAGCAAATCAAAGGCAATGTAATTTCTGTGTTGTGTTCAACAGAAAATTTAGAAATGCTGTGTAATACTCTACATTTATTCTGTGGCATAAAAGAGAATTATTGAAGTATAACAGCTCAGAATTTTAAGATAAATAAGGAAGTTTTGTCAGCAGAGTGGAACACTGAGTTCACCTTTGAGCTTTGTCTACGTAATCCTTACATTTTATGCTGCATTTGTTGAATAAAGTGCCATGCCATGAGTTAAACACTCTGAAAGAAATAGTTTGGAACATGAATTAGTTTCAGATAGACAAAATTAAAATAAGAACTCAGGTACATGCACATCATTAAAAATTTGGTAATATTATAAAAAAAGGATATTTTTTTTTGTAGTATAGACCAATAAAGCAAAAACATGTATGGTACAACAAAAACAAATAGTAAAATTAACCGAGGAGAAATTTTTGCAAAACAAATAATATAATTCTCCAAAAGAAAGAGGTCTGAGAACATACACATGCTTGATGTTTTATTTCAATTCCCGTAAAGAAGCTTCAGCATTTGGAAATCTAAAAAAAAGAAAAGTGACCACTCAGTTATCACTGCAGCATTGCTCAGTTCTAGGGTTCAGGCTTTAGTTTTCCAAACTATTTGTCCTGAATCTCTAGTGCTACTCTGTACAGATTTACTAAGAAACTAAAAATGGACTGCATGTTTTACAGTAAAGTGATTTTCTCCTTCTTGATTTCAAGGTTTTGGAGAGCAGAGATAGGAAAGATTTAAAAGATGTGTAGTCAAAAAGCCACAAAAATTCAAAATCTATGATCAGGTTGAAGTCTGAAAAATGTAAAGCAGGTCTAATAAAATTTAGAAGAAAAAACACTTTGTTCTTTCTAGCTTAGTGTTACTGAAATATAGATAGCATCTGAAAGTTCAGAAGAGCACAAGCAGTAGCATTGGTAGGCGTAGATGCTTTAGGAAAAAACTGACCAACATCATGCATCATACATAACACAACTGAAAATCAGGACAAATTGTTACAAAGTATACAGTGGATTTCAAACACTATCTATTCTATACTGTATAGTATTCACTAGTGTATTCTGTTATTTAGAAGATTGTGTCTGTTTATGACTTTGGGACTGAAGTGGGGACCTGCAGACTCCACCTGGGTCTACTGCTTCACAGCCCAATCTGTGCAGCCTGAATCTGCAACAGCTTGACTCCACTTGTCACTGACAAGGACAAAAAATTACAATATATGTGAGCTAAAAGGCTATACTTGTAAGCTTGGTGCAACAAGAAAATAACTGGAGAGCAATTGATTCTGATTTTTAGGATTTATGTCTTTCAATTTCTTCTAAATTATTGAAAATTAGCTTTAGCCTCACAGTTAAGGATTGTTAAATTTTATAGATTATTTTCCAATCTCCAATTTCTTTTTGCTTCTCAATCTTCTATTTATTTATATTTATGAAGTACTACCTATATACCACAAAACATAAATGTCACAAAAGTAATCCTGAATGTTCCTTCAGACAAGAAATATAACATTTATGTATCTGAAGTGTAAGAATAATTGTGTAGCACGTTATGAGAAGTCATTTTTCAAGCAAAAAATATTGTCCC